CTCCCCCCCGCCCTCCCTGCCGCAGTGACTCCTTCCTGAAGCACCCGGGGCGATGGCTGGAGGGGTGACGAGGGCCGTTGCTTCTCTCTTCCCGCCTCCGCCAGCTCCCTTGCTGCGTTACAGGGGCCGAGAAGCCAGTCGCCTAGACGAGTGGGGAACCCCATGGGCACGACAGGCCCTGGGGGGGACGTTGCTGGGTGACTGGAAAGCTCGTTTGACCACGTGGTTTGACAGACGCTGTGAGCCTGCACTCAGCACCCGACTGGCAGCAGAGCGACCCCCTTTCCACTGATGCCCACAGGGACCAGGCAGGCAGAGGGGAGGGCGCCCCCTCACCTGCCCCCACAGCGTCCCGGGTACCAAACTGTCTCGGCCTTGAACTCCGCCCCTTCGGTATTTGGGTGGCTTGCGGGCAGGGCGCTGTCCTCGCGGAGAGCGGCCATCGGCTCCTTCCTGCGGCTGGGCGCTCGGGTAGCACGTTGCCGGCCTGCGGGAGCCGTTCGGTTGTTTTAGAAGTTCTCTGCGCACCTTGTTGTCACCTGCTCCAGGGGCTCTGCACAGCGCACCCCAGAGACGGGCAGACAGAGCCCGCGAGTCTCGCCGCGAGCGCAGGGCGCGTTTGACTAGCTGGCCCCGGCGGGGGGCTGCTCGTACCGTTCCCGCAGGCCTATTTGTACGACTGTTTGTCTTGCGCGGTTGTTTGTTCCGAGTGTTTTGATTATAAAATAAAGCTGCTTTGCTCCTGTTGGGCAGAGCAATTCCGTGGCTGGCTGGCTGGCGCCGAGGGGGGATTTGGCAAACAGCCCACATCCCACGCTGGGCCTTGGGGATCAGGCCCCGTACGGTGCTTCCCCTGGGTCATTCCCCCTGCAGCGAGAGCGCCCTGCTGAAGTCCAGGGGCGTTCCATTGCCGTGCAGCGAGGGAGCCAGCCCTGGGACTCTTCACGCCGCGGTTCCGAATCCAAGCTGTGGCTCACCCTGAAGGCTTGGTTGTGGGGCTCTGAAGGAAGACGAGGGCAGAACAAGTCTCCTTGGTAACTTAATACAAGGCGTCCACTGTGGCTGGAGTTGCAGAAAGCTATTCAGAGGGTCCCACTGCCTGTGGGGCTGTGCCAGCTGCCCGTGAAGTAGCTCCAAGTGGGCAGGGAAGGGCGCCTCCCGCCGGGCTCTTCACGTCCTGCAGGCCCCGCCCCCGGCGCACTGAGCGCTCAGACGTGTGTGCAGGAGCTTCGCAGGTGGGGTGAGGCAAGAGGCCAGAATGCTGGCCCGCCGGAAGGGAGCATGGTCGCGTGATTACAGCAGGATGCTGAGCCTTGCGGCCTCTGCCTCCCACTAGGCCGGGCCCCGTTGCTCTGCCGCGTGCTGCTCCTTGACTGGGTACAGGGATCTGGGGAGGGGGTGCCCACTAAGCTTAGTGATCCGAGCACAAGGCCCGAGGGGGCTTCCGGGGCCTGTTCTGACGTGATTGCAAATGGAATCTGGTCGTTAATCTAGAAGCTGGGCTGTGCCTGGCTCTGGCCAAATAAGGTTGGATCACGGCGTACCCCATCTCTGCAAGGCCCCAATGGTTTGGCAAGTACTAAGACCTGCCCCTTCCTCCCCCAACACTTCCTTTCGGTGCACGGTGCTGTCAGCTCTGATAAAGACCTGGGTTGTGGCTCACTGCATGTGTCAAAATGTTGGTTTGCCCCAAATGACACATCCCTGCTACTGTTTTGAGATTAAAAGGTGTCACTCCCAGACGGGTGGGGGCTGTATTTCTGGGCTGACACCATGTACCCCAATTTTAACTTTATTTTCCTGGCTAGTAAACACACAATAGGCCTGTCAAAATCAGCCAAGTCCAGCTGCAGTGTTCCCGTAGTGCAGGTAAAACAGTGGCACAAAGCTAGGACTGTCGATGAATTAAAAACAGGAAGAGAGAAGCTGCAGCTGATCCGATTCATTAGCGATCAGCAGGTATGGGAGATGTGGCCTGTACTCCTTGCACAACACAACCCACATGGGCACAGCTGGCTCCGAAGTAACTGAGTGAGTTAGGTATCAGAGGGGTCACCGTGTTAGTCTGGATCTGCAAAAGCGACAAGGAGTCCTGTAGCACCGTATAGACTAACCGATGTATTATTGGAGCGATGAGCTTTCATGGGCAACCCACTTCCTCAGATGGTTGTGAGCGTTCCCGGCCAATGGGGGCTGGGACCGTCTATACCTGTGGAGGAGCAGGTAAATATAACCCTGCAGGTTAGCAGGGGCTAACCCATGTGACCCATTATCCTTTTATTGCCCACTTGATCTAGAAGGTCAGCCTAGGTCAGTATCCGAGGGGGAGCTGTGTTAGTCTGGATCTGCAAAAGCGACAAGGAGTCCTGTGGCACCTTCCGTTAGTCTATAAGGTGCTCCAGGACTCCTCGTCGCTTTTGAGTGAGTTAGCTGGATGCATCCCACGTTGGCATAGCACTGCCCGTGTCGGTTGGCACAGCGCTCTCCATGTCCGACGGAGGCTTGGTCTGCTTTGCAGAGTGAGGTTAAGCGAGCTAGTGGCCGCAGTGCTGCTGGGATGTTCCTGTAGCAGCAGGGTGGCTCTGTTGGAATAACTTAGTCGTCTAATTCCAACCGTCCATCACTGACTGGGACCAAGTTTATAGACACCTATAAAACGGGCCCCAGGGCTGTGTGTTATCCCAACAGCCTTGTATCTAGACTGACAACACATTTGCTTTCACTGGCCAGTTTTTCCAGAAAATCCGCCGCCTTTCCGGAAAAACTTGCCAGCTGTCTACACTGGCCGCTTGAATTTCCGCAAAAGCCCTGACTTCCTACTGTCTGAAATCAGTGCTTCTTGTGGAAATACTTTGCTGCTCCCGTTCGGGCAAAAGTCCTTTTCCGCAAAAGGGCCAGTGTAGACAGCTCAGATTTGTTTTCCGCAAAAAAGCCCCGATCGCGAAAATGGCGATTGGGGCTTTTTTGCGGATAAGTGCGTCTAGATTGGCACGGCCGCTTTTCCGCAAAAAGCATCCGTGCCAATCTAGACGCTCTTTTCCGCAAATGCTTTAACGGAAAACTTTTTTCTGTTAAAAGCATTTGCGGACAATCATGCCAGTCTAGACGTAGCCTTCGGGTCTTGCAAATAATGTTGATGACTTCTACTGAACTCATCAATATGAGAAACACTTTCGATATTAATGCTAGACTGAAGTTACATGGAAAAATGCTATAGAGAGGGCAGCGAAAACATTTTTCTGAGGTAGGGGAATTTCATGGTTGTCTGAGTAGTCAGTGATAGGACCTTTCACAATCACTTTTCTGACGACTGCTGTTACTCTATATTAAGCTCTGCTACTATGGTCAGCAGAACTCAAAACAATTAGTAAAAAGGATGGGGGGGACAACAGCTTTTATTTTCACAGTATGTTAGCCAGGGTGGGTGGGAAGGTTGTCCTTAGCCTCTGTCAGAGTCTGGGAATGGGGGACAGAGGATGGATCCCTTGATTCTGTTTACACCGGGCATAGGCTACTGTCAGCAGGACTTTGGGCTAGCTGGCCCTGCCTGGCTGTTCTGTATTTGAAGAGATACAGGCCACCACTTTGATATGCATCCACCAAAATGCCTCGGTTTCTGTACAATTACACATTGTGCACAGAAATAGCTGCTGGTCTTATTTTTTAATCTTTCTGTGCTCAGACTTAATCCCAAGATGCTGGTCTTATTTTTTAATCTTTCTGTTCTCAGACTTAATCCCAAGTGTGAGAAGTCACCATGAATGCAGTGATGTATATTTATTGGGCAATCATTTCACTACTGCACTTGGGCTCTGAAACTGTAAGATAAGTTGCTATTCTAACTCACATTTCCTGCTGCTGTGCAGAGTGCTGAATGCTGGTGAGCCCCACATTGAAACAGCCCCACGGGCTTGTGTGGTTTTTGCACAGAAGGGAAGTTTCTTCATGAATTTCTGTGGATTTGCTGCATGTCTGCCTCACCCTGAGCAGCTTTTGATGTCTGTAATCTTGCTGTAAACAACGACTGTGCCAGTTTCCCACGTGAAGGAGGAAGCCCTGCTCGAGGTTTGTGTGTCGATTAGAAGGGCCGGTCAAAGACTTTCGGAGACTTGGAGGGAACCACTAGCTCAGTCTAAAACACGCTGGAGGAAATGTTCCATCACTTACCTGAGTACCAAGCCCGGTACTAACCAGCTTTTAGAATAGTGTCCCCTGGTGATTTGAAAAGAGCAAGAGAAATCCACCTGTGGGTTTGCTCCAATGGCTAACCGACTTGTTCAAAAAGTTAGGCACCGTTTTTATTTGAGGGTGTCAGGTTCTTGGTCTGCCTTTCTCAGCTAAATTAACAAGCCCTTTGGTACCTGCCGTCTTCTCCCTTTGAAGGTATCTGCACCCCACAATCACGTCTTATTACAAGGTTCTTTTGGAGAAGCGAAACAGCTTCAGTGTTCCAAGTAGAAGGCGTTTGTCAGCCCTTGACTCCAATGGTTCAACGTCCTTTTAAAACATGGCCCCCAGAAGTAGATGCAGCGTTCTGGTATCGCCCTCACAGGGGGTGTAAACAAGCAAAATTGCCTCCCTTTTAGTAATGGATCCACCTTGGCCTCACGTCACCTCAGCCCTTGTGGCAGCAGCAGTGCCCTAGGGGAGCTCATGTCTGTTTCATGAAGGCTGTGCAGAGCACAGGGCATTGGCAGCTGATGCCAAATGGAGGGGTTGCAAGCACGCTGGGGGTGGAGGGTCCAAAACGAGACTGGAGCCCTGGCCTGGCTCCCAGAAGATAAAACTCAATGGCTGTGTCTAGACTGGCAAGACGCGGTTTTGCGTAAGAAAGCTCCGGGGGCCATTTTCGCCAGCAGGGTTTTCTTACGCAAAAAATTCCTGTCCCTGTCTACACTGGCCCGAGAGGGCTTTCCCCGCGCGGTTCTAGCGCAAGAACCCTGAGGATCTTACATGAGATCGTCCGTGTCCTTGGCACATTCTCGCGGCCGGTGTAGGCAGCTGGCAAGTCTAGACGCCCCCAATCGGGACCAGTGCAAAGCCCTTGAGTTGTAAAGGGAAGAACCGGCTGTGCAGCTAGACAAGGGGAGGGCCTGGCGGGCCGGGGGTGAGAGCAGTGACTGGTCGAGTCACCCAATGGGCCAGGGTTACAAAGGGCGAAGGCTGCTCCGGGGTGCG